TTTTTGGTCCGTCGTGGGGCTTGAACTCTGGGCCTGAGCGCTGTCTCTCAGCTCTTTAGCTCAAGGCGAGTGCTCTACCACTAGAGCTACAGCGCCACTTTTCAGTTTTCGAGTGATTTATTGGAGATAAGAGTCTCACGGACTGGCTTTGAACCGTGATCCTCAGATCTCAGCCTTCTTGAGTAGCTAGGATTACAGGTGTGAGCCACCGGGCTCCTCTGGTGATTTCTTAATGCATGTATTCTGATTGAAGTATGTCCCTTAGAGGTATATAAAGGAATGTAATTAGATTAAGGGTAGTCCTGTCTTCATTAAATCTTGTAACACTGAGCAAGTCACTTGTTTCATAGCCTCAATGTTTAAAAGAAGCACATAAAAATTTTAGATTAGGTGATCTCTAAAGTTCCTTTTAATTCTAAAAGTTCCTAATAATTGGTTTAGACCAAACTGAAAGAATAAGTGCTCTAGGGTAGTTGGAATCTTTCCTTTCTGAGACTTTCCATGTCCTGGCAGGTTGCAGTGTTTTTTGGTGGTCTGTCTATCAAGAAGGATGAAGAGGTGCTGAAGAAGAACTGCCCGCATATCGTCGTGGGGACTCCTGGCCGTATCTTAGCCCTGGCTCGAAATAAAAGCCTCAACCTCAAACACATTAAACACTTCATCTTGGATGAGTGTGATAAGATGCTTGAACAGCTCGGTGAGTTGTAGATAGTGCAGGGATGTGACTAGTGGTCTGGGGACTTTTTCTTTGGAGCCAAATGATGTTTGTTTGATAATGGAGCACTTAGTGCAAAGACGACTCTTAATCTATCACCCATGACTGATGGCTCAGTTCTCAGACTGTCTTTGTTACCCCATTTCCCAGGCTGAGTATTGATGAACCCTTGGTCTTGAATGTTTAGAATACAAGTCCTACAACTGAGCTACATATCCAGCTCTGTAATGGTCTTTGGCAGATATTCTTTGAGGCCCAAAGTTCAAGCCCCACAACAGACAAGAAAAGAGCTAGAACCTGATCCCAAGTCTTTTATTATTCTACATCTATTGTTTTCATTATGCTTTATTTGATTTTTTTTTTTTTTTCCAGTCATGGGGCTTGAATTCTGGGCCTGGGCACTGTCCCTAAGCTTTTTCACTGAAGGCTAGTGCACTACAATGCCACTTGGGGTTTTCTGGTGGTTTAATGGAGATAAGAGTCTCATGAACTTCCCTGCCTGGGCTGACTTTGAACTGCAATCCTCCGATCTCAGCCTCCTGAGTAGCTATGATTACAGGCATGAGCTGCCGGCACCTGGTTTTATTTGATTTTTATACTTACTGGAGAAAATAGAGGACTAAGGTGAAATGATGCCTTGTTTATACATTCCCAGTGGTCATTACCTCACTGGGAAGTGTGACCTTTGTTAAATGCACAAGTGTTTATTTTCTTCTGTAATTTCTTACTCTTACAGACATGCGTCGGGATGTCCAGGAAATATTTCGCATGACCCCCCATGAGAAGCAGGTCATGATGTTCAGTGCTACCTTGAGCAAAGAGATCCGGCCAGTCTGCCGAAAGTTCATGCAAGATGTAAATACCCTTCTACCTTCTCTCCCTCCACTCCCCGCCCGCTGCCTCCTCCCCTTCCTCGCCCTCTTCCTCCAGACTCCCTTGTCCTTCAAGCATCAAGAAGGGAGCTCATGCCCATTTGGGAGCAATGACTCCTTGAAGATACACACAGAGTCAGAGACAGCTAGTGTTAGGGTCTGCGCGGGTGCCAGGGAAAATCCGGAAGACTTGGTCGGGTTAACGTGAGAGCGGGTAGTGTTCGACATTTTTTTAATCCCAAGATTTTTTGAACCTCTTCTCCTTTTGGGGGGAGGGCAGAATTTTCTGCCCTACCACCCACCCATCATACATAACCCCATACAGCCACGCACCCTCAAGGTGGCATTGAGCATACAGCTGGAGTCTTCTCACCAAAACTACCTCCCAGAAGCAGGAGAGCAAGAGAGGGACAGTCAGATGGCAGGGCATGTCCAAAAGAAGAGCAAACGGCACAAGTGAATCTGCCCCCCTCCCCACCTCTAGGGGTGGGGGCCTTTGGCACCTCAATCCCCATCCCCTACTCCTTCCTGCCCGAACGTCCTTACACCCATCGGAACCTCGGTTGATGTGAGCCGGCAGCAGAGAAAGCACCGTGGCACGACGAGAGAATTCAGATGGCACCAAGCGGTGGATGGCCGCAGCAGAAGCCGCAGGAAACCTGACCAGGAAGCTGAGGACCAAACCAGCCTTTTTTTTTTTTCCTTTTTTTTTTCTTCCTTTTTTTCTTTTTTTGTCACTCCCGGTTTTTTGGTTTTTGTTTTTTTGGTTTTTGTTTTAGTTTTTTTTGTTTTTTGTTTTTTTTTGGTTTTGTTTTTTCTGATCCTAACGTGCTTTGCCCCATCTTCCCCCCCCCATATGTGTTCGGGGAGGTGTGTCATGAATGGGGTGGTAGATTTTTTTTTCCTTCTAAAAAGTCCTTTTTTAATGCTCAGGAAAGGGTTCTGGGAAGGTAAAGTGGGGAGCTCCACTTGGATGTAACCAGGTGGGTGTTAGGGTTGGGGCTGGTGGAGCCCATTGAATGAGCAGTGGAGTGTGTTCCTGCCCTCCCTGCCATGCTCCTTCCCTTGGGATACCTTTCTCTTGGATTATACGTGGGGCTAAGATTAGATTTGAAGGAGGCTGTGAAACAAAGCCTGCTTTGCTTGCTTGCCTGCCTTCAGATAGTGGGCTTTTTTTCCCCCGACACTACATACACATTTTGTTCCCTGGTTCTTTGTTAACTGTCCCCTGAAATAGTATGGAGAATGCTAGGAAACTTTGCCTTTGGAGTTGCCTTGTGTCCCATTTTTGTCTTTCGTGCTATTTTCCTCCCCTTCAAGGGTTGAATGTGGGTTCCCCACTTCCCTATATTTTAAAAATTAATGCCTGTTACGCTATTTGTGTTTTAGGACTAGATACTTTCCTTGAAACCTGTAGGTGGTTTGACTCAGTTCTAAGACCAGTCTCATCTAAAACTATTCCCTACTGGTCCAAGGGCAAGTTGTTCTCATCTTGAGCAATTTTTGCTTCCCTTGAAATAGCTCTTATTTACTTTTGAGACAGGGTCTTGCAATGTAACCCAAGCTGACCTCAAGCTCTGTAATTGTTGATCCTTCTGCCTCAGCCTCCTGAGTGCTGGGATTACAGGACTGCACTTCCATGCCTGACTTATAAATGGTATATTCATCATGTCCATTGCAACATTCTGATTTTAAAACTATCCATTTAGCTAATGGGTGTCTAATGCTAATTTCTAATAAGATTTTTATAGTTAAGAGAAAAATCAAATAGTGCAAACCTTGTCTTTTTCTCCATGTTCTCAAAACCTGCTCTGAAGGAGTTATTCTGACCTTGAGTCACTGTTACCTGTCGTTACCCAGATGTTCTGATGGTGTTCTCCACTTGAACACCATCTCCCCTTGTTTCTTTCCACCACCTCTTTGAGGATGTAATAGCATCCTGCCATTGTGTGGTTTCGCTGTTGTTACTTTGCAAAGTTGCTTTTGTCCCTGACAGTTCAGTTGAGGGGTAGTCTTAAAACTCAACCGATAGGAAAGAAATTAGATCTAACATGAAAGAGACCAAAGTAAAATGGGTATTTTTGGTGGTGGGGTGTGGTTTTCGAACTTTACTCTTCTCCCCATCCCCTCATGGGGTGTATTGGAGATCAACTTCCTCCACCCCCCCAGGTTTAACCCCCCCACTCTGCCCTCCCGTTCCCCACCCCCTTCCTCCCCCTCAGCCAATGGAGATCTTCGTGGATGATGAGACGAAGTTGACGCTGCATGGATTGCAGCAGTACTACGTGAAACTGAAGGACAACGAGAAGAACCGGAAGCTCTTTGACCTTTTAGATGTCCTTGAGTTCAACCAGGTCAGTCATTTAAGGTCAGGTAGGGGGATGAGCATTGGATACATCTCCAACTGTAGAGATGTGCAGAGATGAAGACTGTATTAAGTAGCCTTTTATTGAGGGAGCTGCATATCTGATAGGGAATATGATGGAGAGATTCTCTTTAAACAAGTATGTAAATAAATACTGAGCAAGGTAAGCTGCTTTTCAGTTCCATGACCAGTAAGTATAGATAACTCAGTAAAAGCTCACATAAGCTGGAAGTCAGTGCTACACACTTAACCTTAGTTATTCAGGCTGAGATCAGATGATGATGAAGGTTCAAAGTCAGCTTGTGCAGAGTCCGTGAGCCTCCCATCACCATTTTAAAAAATGTAGGACTGGCAATGAAGTTCAAGTGGTAAAGTGCCACCTGTGAGCAAACAAGCCCAAGCAAGAGCTTGAGCCCATGAGTTTAAGCCATAGTATTGCACACATAACAAAAGACCACATACCAGGTGACGGTGCTCATGCATGTAAACCTAGCTACTCAGGATTCTAAGATCTAATGATCGTAGTTCAAAGCCATCCAAGTGGAAAAGTCCTCTTGAGACTTAACTACTCAAAAACCTGAAGTGGAGCTGTGGCACAAAGGTGGAGCACTAACCATGAGCAAAAAGAGTTCAAGGACAGCTCCCAGGCCCTGAGTTTAAGCCCTAAAGAAAAAAAGATCTCAAGTAAAATAAACCTCAGAAGTACTTAGTAAATTTGTATGAATGCTGAGCTATTTTGAGCATTTAAGGTTCTTAAATCTATGTTTCTTGTGCATAACTGAAAAGTAATCTGTTTACCAAGTGCATTGTATGCACTAAAACTACTTTGTAGAATTAGATCCCTTAGGTTCAGTGTTTTGCCAAACAATGAAGTAGCCTCATCCTTGCTTCTTAAAATGTCTGCAAGTGTGAGTTACTATTCTCATGCCACCTCAGAGAGAGGTCAGCTCTGCAGAAGTCAGAGCTGAGAGAATAGAAGGCTATTGAGAACAGAAAAGAATGGTATGATAGAAGATAAAAGGGACTAGGAACGCTTCTTTAGAAGAGTGAAATTTCCTAAAATTCGTCTCCCATATATTCTGCTAAACACCATGGACCCACATCCCTGTACACCACCCCCACCTAGGTGGTAATCTTTGTGAAGTCTGTGCAACGGTGCATCGCCCTGGCCCAGCTTCTGGTGGAGCAGAATTTCCCAGCCATTGCCATCCACCGTGGCATGCCCCAGGAAGAGAGGTGAGTTGAAGTTGGGCAAGGGTTTTATGTTGGAAGAATTAAGGACCACAGAGAAAAGAATCTCAACATTTTTCTGACTTGTTTCCCCAAAGGCTTTCTCGGTATCAGCAGTTTAAGGATTTTCAACGGCGAATTCTTGTGGCCACCAACCTGTTTGGTCGAGGCATGGACATTGAGCGGGTGAACATCGCCTTCAACTATGACATGCCTGAGGATTCTGACACATACCTGCATCGGGTAGGTCCTCACCCAAGAGGATCTTCATTCCCATGTCCTTTTTCCAGTATCTCTGTGCCTTACATCTTTCCCCCCACACACACCTTTTTTTTTTTTTTTTGGCTCTTCTTGGGCCTTGGACTCAGGGCCTGGACTCTGTCCCTGAGCCTCTGTGCTCAAGGCTAGAGCTCTGCCACTTGAGCCACAGCACCACTTCTGGCTTTTTTTTTTTTTTGTCAGTCATTGGGCTTGAACTCTGGGCCTGAGCGCTGTCCCTCAGCTGTTCAGCTCAAGGCAAGCGCTCTACCACTTGAGCTACAGCACTACTTCCAGTTTTCTGGTGGTTTATTGGAGAAAAGAGTTTAACGGACTTTCCTGCTTGGGCTGGCTTTGAACCATGATCCTCAGATCTCAGCCTCCTGAGTAGCTAGGATTACAGGCGTGAGCCACCGGTGCCCTGCTGGCTTTTTCTTTCTTTCTTTTCTTTACCAGACCTGAGGCTTGAACTCAGGGCCAGGGTTCTGTCCCTGAGCTTCTTTTGCTCAAGGCTAGCACTCTACCACTTGAGCCGTAACACCACTTCTGACTTTTTCTGTTTATGTGGTACTGAGGAATCAAATCCAGGGCTTCATGCATGCTATGCAATCACTCTACCACTAAGCCACATTCCCAGTCCTGTCTTCCCTCTTTGGGAGTCTTCCAGTCTGACCTTTTTGGTACTTTTTCAGGTGGCGAGAGCAGGCCGGTTTGGCACCAAGGGCTTAGCCATCACATTTGTGTCAGATGAGAATGATGCCAAGATTCTCAATGATGTGCAGGACCGCTTTGAGGTCAATATTAGTGAGCTGCCTGATGAGATAGACATCTCCTCCTACAGTGAGTATTGACCTCATGGATCTGGCTCTTTGCATCTTTAGATAGTTTGTGTATTTGTCTTATATCCCTATGTAGATAGTGGGCACCTAATGCATAATGGCTACTGAGCCACTTCCTGTCCCTGGTCTTCAATGAATGTTAGGATGTTTTTTGACATCCATTGGGGTCCCTTCTATCATCAAATGATTACTTTTCTTCACTACTAAATCTCTTCTGAACCCTCGGGCAATACAAAAACATACATGTTTTATGTCGATTCACTTTCTGTGCCTTATTCTAACTGCTGGTATCCTTTGTAGTTGAACAGACACGGTAGAGGACTCACCCATTCTGGAATTGGATAGTCTTCAGGAGAGGACACCAGGCGTAGGGATGGAGACACTACTGCCACCTGCCCCCGACAGCCCCCCCATCCCTACCCTGAGGCTTCTTCCTTTTGCATCACTATCACTCCTAAACCTGTTCTGATTTATCAGGATTTTTTTTAACAAAACTAAAAATGAAACACAAATGTGTCTCTGGAATTTGTAAGCGTTCTTCCTTTATTGTGTTTATGCTGAGGTTATTTGGGGCGTGATTGCAGATAAAACTTGGGGGAGGGGGAACTATGCTGGGGGTGTGGCCATGGTAGGATGTGGGACTAAGCTACAGAAGCCAGGTCTTCTCAGCCCTTATTACTACTTTCCTAGATAAAGCTTACAATTTTCCATGGAGGTGTCATGTACATTATTTTGGTGGCCTAAGAGAGGTTGAGCTATTTCTGGAATGGCTCTGGGGGTAAAGAAGGGTGAGCTGGGAAAGTGGCTCAGTGGTAGAGTGCTTGCCTTGCATGCATGAGGCCCTAGGTTTGATTCCTCAGCACCACATAAGCAGAAAAGGCCAGAAGTGGTGCTATGGCTCAAGTGGTAGAGCACTAGCCTTGAGCTGAAGAGCTCAGGGACAGAGTTCAGGCCCCACAACTGACCAAAAAAAAAAAAGGTGAGCATTGTTTCCTGCGTTCGAGGGTGAAGAGGGCCCTGGTAGGTTTAGCTATTGCCCAGGTTTTCTCACTGTGGCCTTGTCTACTTCTTAACCTGGTTTTGAGTGCCATGACCTAGGCCTCTGGTGCCCCCATTTGCCCTTTCAGTAGGTCCTGGTACAGCTCCAGCTACTGCTCTAGCAGTTCCTCAGCTTGGGCCAGCTCAGCTCTGTGGTGGGGCTGTCCCTAGATGGGGAGGGATTGAGGATATGGGCCTGTCACCCTTGAACAGCTATTGTCTGGCGAATGTTTCCTTTAAGACCACACTCGATTGATGAAGATGGCCTCTACTATGAAAAGTCAAGTAGGCATGTAAATCTCCTTAAAGTTAGTGCTTTTCAAACTTGGGGCTGTGAAATGAAGCTTAAGCCCTCATTAGCTGCCTTGTTTCCACATCCAATTTTACAAAAACAAAAAGAATCCTTGTAAAAGTTTACTGGGGGAAGGTTTTTCTCAATTCTTAGTGATATTATGTGTAACTCATTTGAATCAATGTATCTCACATGTAAGGTATCCAAACTTGTTACAGGCATGAAACTATCCAGTATAGTTAAACAACCACAACAGATGTTGCAGCTGAACTAGCCATGTTTGTAAATGAAGGCAAGATCAGGAACAAATAAGGTTTCTACCTGACCATCCAACTGATAATCATTCCTGGAAAAAAACTTTTCAGTTATCTGAGTTATTGTTTATCAAGATTTGTTGATAATATTGATTTAAATGAGGTTTCCAGCTTGTCCGTCAGGTGCTCTACCACTCAAGCCACCCCTCCAGGCTGGTCAGTTGGGAGATGTCTTTTCCCTGATCTGATTTCAAACAGTAACCTGCAGGATTTCAGCCTTCTAAGAATTATAAGCTTGAACCACTGGTGTCTGTTCTAGTCCCCAGTAATTTACAATATTTTAATTACTGAAACAAATGTAAGTTTGAATTTTTATTTCATCGGTGAGAATAAGGTATTGGGCTTTGGATCAGTAGAAATCTGTTGAAGCTGTGAATCATAATCCTGAAAATGAAGTAATGAAGACAAATATGCATAAACAAGATTACCTAGATTAATGTGACTAGGCAAGCACTCTACCAATGAGCTACAACATAATTTGAACAATTAACCAAAAAAAAAAGTTGGTAGAGTACAATCCTTGTGCAGAGAAAACACAAGAGTGGGAGACTGCATTCAAGCCCCAGTACTGGCACACTTGCATACAATTCCAGGAAAATGAAATGTGGGGTAGAGCAGGAAAATGGAGAGGAATGGAAATGGAACTAGGTAATGCGATGGATGGGATTGGAGATAGGGGAGATGATAGGAGGGATGATATTGATCAAGATGCACTGTACTCATAAATTGACATGTTGAAACATGTTTGTACTTCAAAGACAATAAAAATTAAGCCAGGCTGGGTGCTGTAATCCTAGCTACTAAGGAGGCTGAGATCTGAGAATGAAGGTTCAAAGTCAGCTCAGGTAGGAAAGTCCATGAGACTTCAATTAAGCACTGGAAAACTGGAAATGGCCCTGTAGCTCAAGTGGTAGAGCACTTGCCGTGAGCTGAAGATCTCAGGGACAACACCCAGACTCAGAGTTCAAGCCCCACGACTGACAAAAAATAATTTAAAAAATTTTTTCAGCTGGGTACCAGTGGCTCATGCCATAATCCCAGCACTATTCAGGAGGCTAAGTTGTGAGTATCACAAAAGCCAGCCAGGGCAGGAAAATCTGTGAGACATACTTCCAATTCACCACGGGTAAACAGGAGTGATATTGTGGCCCAAAGTGGTAGAGTGCTAGCCTTGAGGAAAAAAATCTCAGCATCTAGGCCCTTGACTTCCAGCCCACTAACTTAAGAAAAAATTCCAATTTTTTGTAAAGCTCCTTGGTATTCAGATGAACTATCCAGGGACATAAAGTTAGTTTTCTCTATATGGAATAATGAATGTTAAGAAACCTTGAAGCTGGGGCTGGGAAGGTGGCTCAGTGGTAGAGCACTTGCCTTGCATGCCTGAGGCCCTGGGTTCGATTCCTCAGCATCACATAAGCAAAAAGAAAAAAGCCGGAAGTGGCTCTGTGGCTCAAGTGGTAGAGTGCTAGCTTGAGCTGAAGGGACAGCGCCCAGGCCCAGAGTGCAGGCCCCACTACTGGACCCCCCCAAAAAAAAAAAAAAAGGTATGTCTGGTTCCTCAAGTGGTAAAGATTTTTTATTTAGAGTAGGTGTTTATGCTTAACAAAGACATTTAGGAAAGAACAAAAAAGGGAAGTACCAAAATCTTAATAGAAAAGGCTTATGGCTTGTCTTTCATGATAGCATAAAAGTGCTAGTGATCCAAAATGATTTGGAGAGCTACCATTTGTTCTTGTGCCTGGCTTTTCTTGTTCACCTTGTTTTAAATTTTTGTCATTTTGCCTGTTACAAGTTTTCAGAAAGGGTCTGATTGGACTTTCAGACTCCCTTTTTGGGGCCAGACCAATTCTGGTTTCTGGGAACCACAATGTCTGGTCTAACTATGGCTGGCTTGGGAGTCAGGTACCGAGTTCTTCATTTTGTTTAAAGTTGCAAAGTTATGTGACCCAAAGCACAGCAACCTAAGTAGGAGAAATGGCCTGTGGCAGGCATTCAAATGTTATGGATTGTTACAATTTAAGAAAAACTAAGGACAGCCAGAAGCACTGAAGGTGAGCTTTTGGTAGGCGCACAAGAGGGTTCTTAGCACTACTGGGGAGGCCTGGATATGGAGGAGGCAAGAGTTAAAAGGAACTAGGAGGGTCTGGTTTGGGGATAAATATGATTGAGGGGGCATAGAGAGGAAGGATCTGAAAGTTGACAAGAATCAGGTAAATACTTAGAAAATTGAGTGGAAAGCATTATGAAGTACCTGGAGACTGATCTAATTTACCTTTTTGTCTTGTTTTTTGCTTTTTGTTTTAGTTCAGCATGAGTGCATCCCTCAAGCCATTCTGGGAATGGATGTCCTGTGCCAGGCCAAATCAGGCATGGGAAAGACAGCAGTGTTTGTGTTGGCCACACTGCAACAGTTGGAACCAGTTACTGGACAGGTATATTTTGAGAGAGTGCTGGGGAAAGTATTTTGGTTACAGTTGAGAGTCATGAGCTCTTCTTATTCAGGTGACCTCTGTCAACCTTAACAACCAAGGGGAATGTTCTGTGAGAGTGGGCGTAATGATTTAAGTCTCAGACTGAAGTAATGTATGATCTGCCAGGGATGCTTTTGTGACATTTCTCCAGAGGCATATACTTACAGTTTGTTTGTCTATTTCCTTCTCTAGGTGTCTGTGCTGGTGATGTGTCATACTAGGGAGTTGGCTTTTCAGATAAGCAAGGAATATGAGCGCTTCTCTAAATACATGCCCAATGTCAAGGTAAGCCTAGTAAAGATACATGGGAAAACAGCTTGGGGACTTGTAGTTCCACAGTCTCCATCTCCCACTAGGATTGAACACTAATGTCCCAGTGTATATGTAATTGACAGAAAGTTTCTGTAGATTTTGGTACAGGAGATTTTGCTAAAACGTAGGTATGGTTTATTTAGATTTGTGTTACACTCTCAAGCTTACTGTATATTTCATTTGGGGAAACTTTAGTTTTCTTTGGTTTTATGGAGTGCAAACAAAGCTTATAGCATAAAATTCATGATTGAGCTCTGGATTGGATATCTAGAGTCGACAACAGTACTTATCTGACTTGTTTTCTGTTGTATAACCTTTGGTGTTTGTGGTGTGTCCCTCATACCAGTAGCTTCATCATTTAGAAACTGGTTGGAAATACAGATTATTGGGGTCCTATCCTAAACCTACTGAGTATAAAACATTGTATGTGGTTGGAGGTTGGAAAACACTATTGTATATAACTTAGCCTGGTTAGAATGAAGAATGATACTTAGTGTACATTTCCCATGTATTTATTGCTTTTTTTTTCCCCTTGAGAAATGATTTAGGAGGTGAGATCTGAGGATCGTTTAAACCTAGCCTATGCAGGAAAGCCTGTAAGATTTTCATCTTCCCTAAATCACCAAAAAACTGAAAGTGGAGGTGTGGCTGAAGTGGTAATATACTTGAGACTTGAACACAAAAACTGAGGAATAGTGCCCAGGCCCTGAGCCCCAAAGCCCCAGGTCCAGCACAAAAATAAGTAAAAAGTAAACCAAGAATTATAAGTACATTTACTTCTGCTCAAAAATTTGTTAAAGAGACTGAGCTAGTTTTACAGAATGGCCTATTCTGGATTTGTCTGGTTACTTGTGCTTAGTTCTTCCCTCCTTTATTGTGTGTGTGTATGGGTTGTGGGGATTGAACTCTGGGCTTGGGCACTGTCCCTTAGCTCTTCAGCTCAAGGCAAGTGCTCTACCACTTGAGCCACAGCGCCACTTCCGGTTTTCTGTTGGTTTATTGGAGATAAGACTTTCCTGCCTGGGCTGGCTTTGAACAACAATCCTCAGATCTCAGCCTAGTTAGGATTATAGGCATGAGCCACCGACACCCGGCTTTTTTTTTAACCAGTGTGAAAATTGAGCCCAAGATTTCATGCATTCAAGGCAAGTTCTCTACCTCTCAAGCCATTCTCTTAGCTTTATAAGTTTGTTTGTTTTTTTTTTAATTTTTATGCCAGTGAGTCTTGAATTCAGACCCTGGGTGCTGTCTTGAATTTGTGCTCAAGGCTAGTGCTCTACCACTTGAACCATAGCACCACTTCTGAATTTTTTGGTAGTTAACTGGACATGAGAGTCACAAACTTAGCTGCTCAAGCTGGTTTTGAACTTTGATCCACTGATGTCAGCCTCCTGAATAGTATTACCGACATAAGCCACATACACTTGATTTTGTTCTTAAGATAAAATCTGGCTAATTGCCTGGGATGGCCTTGAATTCAAGATCCTCTTGGTTCTACATCCCCCAATAACTAGGAGTACAGGTATATTACTATATCCCACTTTTTGCTATTGCCTGTAAACTAAACTTTGTTTTTTGGTCAATCATGGGGCTTGAACTCTGGGCCTGGGCGCTGTCCCTCAGCTCTTCAAGGCTAGCACTCTACCTCTTGAACCACAGCGCCACTTCCGGCTTTTTCTGTTTATGTGGTGCTGAGGAATCGAACCCAGGGACTCATGCATGCAAGACAAGCAGTCTACCTTCCCGGCCCGTAAACTAAACTATTTGAAAGTTTTTTTGTTTCTGTTTTAGCTGGTCCTGGGGCTTGAACTCTGCCTGGGTGCTGTCCCTGAGCTGCTTTTGCTCAAGATTTACAATAGGATTGTTAAGACAGTTTGATTCTTTGATTTTTCTCTTTCTCATTGAAATACAAGTTTCTGGTGTTAGCTGATAAAAATAGGAAGGCTGCCAGGCACTGCTGGCTCACGCCTGTAATCCTTGCTACTCAGAAGGCTGAGATCTGAGGATCAAGGTTCAAAGCCAGTCTTATCTCCACTTAACCACCAGAACACTGGAAGTGGCACTGTAGCTCAAGTGGGTAGAGCGCTCACCTTGAGCTGAAGAGCTGAGGGACAGCACCCAAGGACCAGAGTTCAAGCCCTACAACCAACCCCCAAAAAAAGGATTATGAAGACCAGGAATTTGGCTTAGTGGTAGTGCTTGCCTAGCATGCATGAAGCCTGGGTTTGATTCCTCAGTACCACATGAACAGAAAAGGCCAGAAAGTGGTTCTGTGGCTCAAGTAGTAGAGTGCCAATCTTGAGCAAAAGAAGCTCAGGGACAGTGTCCAGGCCCTGAGTTTAAGCCCCAGGGCTAGCAAAAAAAAGAGAGTATGAAGGCCGGAGAACCATTTGTTTAAAGTGCATTTGTAATTATGCAGGGCTTTTGTAATGGTTCAATTAGGAAAGCTTGGTGTTTGCACTTTGTGTGTGTGATATTTGACAGTTCTCTGGTGATTTCTTTTTTTTTTTTTGGTCCGTCGTGGGGCTTGAACTCTGGGCCTGAGCGCTGTCTCTCAGCTCTTTAGCTCAAGGCGAGTGCTCTACCACTAGAGCTACAGCGCCACTTTTCAGTTTTCGAGTGATTTATTGGAGATAAGAGTCTCACGGACTGGCTTTGAACCGTGATCCTCAGATCTCAGCCTTCTTGAGTAGCTAGGATTACAGGTGTGAGCCACCGGGCTCCTCTGGTGATTTCTTAATGCATGTATTCTGATTGAAGTATGTCCCTTAGAGGTATATAAAGGAATGTAATTAGATTAAGGGTAGTCCTGTCTTCATTAAATCTTGTAACACTGAGCAAGTCACTTGTTTCATAGCCTCAATGTTTAAAAGAAGCACATAAAAATTTTAGATTAGGTGATCTCTAAAGTTCCTTTTAATTCTAAAAGTTCCTAATAATTGGTTTAGACCAAACTGAAAGAATAAGTGCTCTAGGGTAGTTGGAATCTTTCCTTTCTGAGACTTTCCATGTCCTGGCAGGTTGCAGTGTTTTTTGGTGGTCTGTCTATCAAGAAGGATGAAGAGGTGCTGAAGAAGAACTGCCCGCATATCGTCGTGGGGACTCCTGGCCGTATCTTAGCCCTGGCTCGAAATAAAAGCCTCAACCTCAAACACATTAAACACTTCATCTTGGATGAGTGTGATAAGATGCTTGAACAGCTCGGTGAGTTGTAGATAGTGCAGGGATGTGACTAGTGGTCTGGGGACTTTTTCTTTGGAGCCAAATGATGTTTGTTTGATAATGGAGCACTTAGTGCAAAGACGACTCTTAATCTATCACCCATGACTGATGGCTCAGTTCTCAGACTGTCTTTGTTACCCCATTTCCCAGGCTGAGTATTGATGAACCCTTGGTCTTGAATGTTTAGAATACAAGTCCTACAACTGAGCTACATATCCAGCTCTGTAATGGTCTTTGGCAGATATTCTTTGAGGCCCAAAGTTCAAGCCCCACAACAGACAAGAAAAGAGCTAGAACCTGATCCCAAGTCTTTTATTATTCTACATCTATTGTTTTCATTATGCTTTATTTGATTTTTTTTTTTTTTTCCAGTCATGGGGCTTGAATTCTGGGCCTGGGCACTGTCCCTAAGCTTTTTCACTGAAGGCTAGTGCACTACAATGCCACTTGGGGTTTTCTGGTGGTTTAATGGAGATAAGAGTCTCATGAACTTCCCTGCCTGGGCTGACTTTGAACTGCAATCCTCCGATCTCAGCCTCCTGAGTAGCTATGATTACAGGCATGAGCTGCCGGCACCTGGTTTTATTTGATTTTTATACTTACTGGAGAAAATAGAGGACTAAGGTGAAATGATGCCTTGTTTATACATTCCCAGTGGTCATTACCTCACTGGGAAGTGTGACCTTTGTTAAATGCACAAGTGTTTATTTTCTTCTGTAATTTCTTACTCTTACAGACATGCGTCGGGATGTCCAGGAAATATTTCGCATGACCCCCCATGAGAAGCAGGTCATGATGTTCAGTGCTACCTTGAGCAAAGAGATCCGGCCAGTCTGCCGAAAGTTCATGCAAGATGTAAATACCCTTCTACCTTCTCTCCCTCCACTCCCCGCCCGCTGCCTCCTCCCCTTCCTCGCCCTCTTCCTCCAGACTCCCTTGTCCTTCAAGCATCAAGAAGGGAGCTCATGCCCATTTGGGAGCAATGACTCCTTGAAGATACACACAGAGTCAGAGACAGCTAGTGTTAGGGTCTGCGCGGGTGCCAGGGAAAATCCGGAAGACTTGGTCGGGTTAACGTGAGAGCGGGTAGTGTTCGACATTTTTTTAATCCCAAGATTTTTTGAACCTCTTCTCCTTTTGGGGGGAGGGCAGAATTTTCTGCCCTACCACCCACCCATCATACATAACCCCATACAGCCACGCACCCTCAAGGTGGCATTGAGCATACAGCTGGAGTCTTCTCACCAAAACTACCTCCCAGAAGCAGGAGAGCAAGAGAGGGACAGTCAGATGGCAGGGCATGTCCAAAAGAAGAGCAAACGGCACAAGTGAATCTGCCCCCCTCCCCACCTCTAGGGGTGGGGGCCTTTGGCACCTCAATCCCCATCCCCTACTCCTTCCTGCCCGAACGTCCTTACACCCATCGGAACCTCGGTTGATGTGAGCCGGCAGCAGAGAAAGCACCGTGGCACGACGAGAGAATTCAGATGGCACCAAGCGGTGGATGGCCGCAGCAGAAGCCGCAGGAAACCTGACCAGGAAGCTGAGGACCAAACCAGCCTTTTTTTTTTTTCCTTTTTTTTTTCTTCCTTTTTTTCTTTTTTTGTCACTCCCGGTTTTTTGGTTTTTGTTTTTTTGGTTTTTGTTTTAGTTTTTTTTGTTTTTTGTTTTTTTTTGGTTTTGTTTTTTCTGATCCTAACGTGCTTTGCCCCATCTTCCCCCCCCCATATGTGTTCGGGGAGGTGTGTCATGAATGGGGTGGTAGATTTTTTTTTCCTTCTAAAAAGTCCTTTTTTAATGCTCAGGAAAGGGTTCTGGGAAGGTAAAGTGGGGAGCTCCACTTGGATGTAACCAGGTGGGTGTTAGGGTTGGGGCTGGTGGAGCCCATTGAATGAGCAGTGGAGTGTGTTCCTGCCCTCCCTGCCATGCTCCTTCCCTTGGGATACCTTTCTCTTGGATTATACGTGGGGCTAAGATTAGATTTGAAGGAGGCTGTGAAACAAAGCCTGCTTTGCTTGCTTGCCTGCCTTCAGATAGTGGGCTTTTTTTCCCCCGACACTACATACACATTTTGTTCCCTGGTTCTTTGTTAACTGTCCCCTGAAATAGTATGGAGAATGCTAGGAAACTTTGCCTTTGGAGTTGCCTTGTGTCCCATTTTTGTCTTTCGTGCTATTTTCCTCCCCTTCAAGGGTTGAATGTGGGTTCCCCACTTCCCTATATTTTAAAAATTAATGCCTGTTACGCTATTTGTGTTTTAGGACTAGATACTTTCCTTGAAACCTGTAGGTGGTTTGACTCAGTTCTAAGACCAGTCTCATCTAAAACTATTCCCTACTGGTCCAAGGGCAAGTTGTTCTCATCTTGAGCAATTTTTGCTTCCCTTGAAATAGCTCTTATTTACTTTTGAGACAGGGTCTTGCAATGTAACCCAAGCTGACCTCAAGCTCTGTAATTGTTGATCCTTCTGCCTCAGCCTCCTGAGTGCTGGGATTACAGGACTGCACTTCCATGCCTGACTTATAAATGGTATATTCATCATGTCCATTGCAACATTCTGATTTTAAAACTATCCATTTAGCTAATGGGTGTCTAATGCTAATTTCTAATAAGATTTTTATAGTTAAGAGAAAAATCAAATAGTGCAAACCTTGTCTTTTTCTCCATGTTCTCAAAACCTGCTCTGAAGGAGTTATTCTGACCTTGAGTCACTGTTACCTGTCGTTACCCAGATGTTCTGATGGTGTTCTCCACTTGAACACCATCTCCCCTTGTTTCTTTCCACCACCTCTTTGAGGATGTAATAGCATCCTGCCATTGTGTGGTTTCGCTGTTGTTACTTTGCAAAGTTGCTTTTGTCCCTGACAGTTCAGTTGAGGGGTAGTCTTAAAACTCAACCGATAGGAAAGAAATTAGATCTAACATGAAAGAGACCAAAGTAAAATGGGTATTTTTGGTGGTGGGGTGTGGTTTTCGAACTTTACTCTTCTCCCCATCCCCTCATGGGGTGTATTGGAGATCAACTTCCTCCACCCCCCCAGGTTTAACCCCCCCACTCTGCCCTCCCGTTCCCCACCCCCTTCCTCCCCCTCAGCCAATGGAGATCTTCGTGGATGATGAGACGAAGTTGACGCTGCATGGATTGCAGCAGTACTACGTGAAACTGAAGGACAACGAGAAGAACCGGAAGCTCTTTGACCTTTTAGATGTCCTTGAGTTCAACCAGGTCAGTCATTTAAGGTCAGGTAGGGGGATGAGCATTGGATACATCTCCAACTGTAGAGATGTGCAGAGATGAAGACTGTATTAAGTAGCCTTTTATTGAGGGAGCTGCATATCTGATAGGGAATATGATGGAGAGATTCTCTTTAAACAAGTATGTAAATAAATACTGAGCAAGGTAAGCTGCTTTTCAGTTCCATGACCAGTAAGTATAGATAACTCAGTAAAAGCTCACATAAGCTGGAAGTCAGTGCTACACACTTAACCTTAGTTATTCAGGCTGAGATCAGATGATGATGAAGGTTCAAAGTCAGCTTGTGCAGAGTCCGTGAGCCTCCCATCACCATTTTAAAAAATGTAGGACTGGCAATGAAGTTCAAGTGGTAAAGTGCCACCTGTGAGCAAACAAGCCCAAGCAAGAGCTTGAGCCCATGAGTTTAAGCCATAGTATTGCACACATAACAAAAGACCACATACCAGGTGACGGTGCTCATGCATGTAAACCTAGCTACTCAGGATTCTAAGATCTAATGATCGTAGTTCAAAGCCATCCAAGTGGAAAAGTCCTCTTGAGACTTAACTACTCAAAAACCTGAAGTGGAGCTGTGGCACAAAGGTGGAGCACTAACCATGAGCAAAAAGAGTTCAAGGACAGCTCCCAGGCCCTGAGTTTAAGCCCTAAAGAAAAAAAGATCTCAAGTAAAATAAACCTCAGAAGTACTTAGTAAATTTGTATGAATGCTGAGCTATTTTGAGCATTTAAGGTTCTTAAATCTATGTTTCTTGTGCATAACTGAAAAGTAATCTGTTTACCAAGTGCATTGTATGCACTAAAACTACTTTGTAGAATTAGATCCCTTAGGTTCAGTGTTTTGCCAAACAATGAAGTAGCCTCATCCTTGCTTCTTAAAATGTCTGCAAGTGTGAGTTACTATTCTCATGCCACCTCAGAGAGAGGTCAGCTCTGCAGAAGTCAGAGCTGAGAGAATAGAAGGCTATTGAGAACAGAAAAGAATGGTATGATAGAAGATAAAAGGGACTAGGAACGCTTCTTTAGAAGAGTGAAATTTCCTAAAATTCGTCTCCCATATATTCTGCTAAACACCATGGACCCACATCCCTGTACACCACCCCCACCTAGGTGGTAATCTTTGTGAAGTCTGTGCAACGGTGCATCGCCCTGGCCCAGCTTCTGGTGGAGCAGAATTTCCCAGCCATTGCCATCCACCGTGGCATGCCCCAGGAAGAGAGGTGAGTTGAAGTTGGGCAAGGGTTTTATGTTGGAAGAATTAAGGACCACAGAGAAAAGAATCTCAACATTTTTCTGACTTGTTTCCCCAAAGGCTTTCTCGGTATCAGCAGTTTAAGGATTTTCAACGGCGAATTCTTGTGGCCACCAACCTGTTTGGTCGAGGCATGGACATTGAGCGGGTGAACATCGCCTTCAACTATGACATGCCTGAGGATTCTGACACATACCTGCATCGGGTAGGTCCTCACCCAAGAGGATCTTCATTCCCATGTCCTTTTTCCAGTATCTCTGTGCCTTACATCTTTCCCCCCACACACACCTTTTTTTGGTTGTTGGTCTTGGGGCTTGAA